ACCTCTTTAACCTTTCTGAGCTGTTATTTTCTCGAATTTGGTGTTATTCAAATGGGATAACGCCGGGATTGCAGGGCTATTGGGAAATACAAAATTCAAGGTAACACTGTTAGCTAGCACAGTTTGTGACTGAAGGTTGAGGCTCTGCGCATCCAGTTTCTAGTGCTTTCAGCCAACAAGTCAGAGGTGCCCAAACTCTCTAAGGGGAGCATGCGTGAATCTCAGAGGGGAGGGCTACTTCCGTGCCTGATGCGTGTCCCCAGTGGGGGGAGCTGGAGGGAGCTGAACGACCCCGAGGACTCTCGATCTCTGAGTCTGTGAGGTAGAGAGAAGCCCTGTCATCTCGGTTTCTGGAAACTCCCAAGGACTGGTGGGCTTTCTCGGTTTCCTGCCTGCAGCTCAAGGAAAACAGCATCGAACCAAATCGACTAAGTCTCTTTTCATCGTGAAGTTTACATTTAGTGGCAGAGACAGATGATAAACACATAAAACAAATATAGAACATAAATACCACGTGGTAACACTGGGAAAAAAATAAGTTATAGATGCCTGGTAAGTGTCAAGGAGGAAAAGGGATAGAGTGAGGGGGCACGGTTTATTAGGAGTGGTCAGAAGGGGCCTCTCTGAGGAAGCGACATTTCATGAGAGACCCAGTTTGGGCTCATTCTGGGTCTCACGCTTTTAGAACTGTGCTGTCTCCCATTTGAACAGGAAACTTCCCGACGTCGCTGAGTCAGGAGTCCGTGATCTGTTGGAGGCTTTGTAAACAGCTATCCTCCACTGACGACTCTTAGGACGTTTAAAAAAGTTTAACGGGTCATTGATTTGGAGCGCTGATTTCCTCCTTTAGCTACTACATGAAGGAGAGGCCGGAGGAGAGGCTGCATGAGACCATGCGTGCCTGCCAGAAAAGGTTTTAGCCATCATGACACACAGCTATTTGTTTATTTTCTAACCAGTCATCACGGAAGATTCCCCATCACCCCCTGCACATCACGGAGGGACCCCAGGGCGTGGCTGGTTCTAGGCCAGGCCTTGGCAGGGACGCGCCAGAGCTTTGCAGATCAACACCAAGCCTCAGAGGGTCTCCGGCACCTGGAGTTCCTCCTCCCGACCAAGTATCAGGCACCCAGAGGACATGAGACTGGGGCCAGGAGAAGGAAACAAGCCAGCAAAAAACAAAACCAAGTCAGAGATGAGTGCTAAGATGCAAATAAACAAGGTTTGTGGTAAAGAGTGACTGGGGATTATTTTAGGGAGGGTGGCCAGGGAAGACCTGTCTGGGAAAGGTGACACTTGACCTGAGACCTGAAAGGTGAGAAGATGTGCGAGAAGCGTGATCCAGGCAGAAGGAGCAGCTGGTGCAAAGGTCCTGAGGCGGGAACTAGCTCAGTGTATTAGGGGATGGACAGGAGACTGCAGTGAAGAAAGCAAGGGGGAGACAGGTTGGGAGGTGGGCAGGGGCCAGGTCACATGGGACTTGTGGGCCAGGGTTAGGCGTTATTTGGATTTTATTCTAAGTAGGATGGGAAGCTAGTGGAGGGTTTTGCATAGGAGAGTTTCATGATCCAAATATTAAAAGCTCTCTCTGGCTGCTGCTATGTGAAGAATGGGATATAGGGGCACTGCCACTGTAATGGCAGATATGTCCAAAAAGATATGTCCAAGTCCCAGTACCCATGAAGGTGACCTTATTTGGAAAAAGGGTCTTTGCACATGTCATTAATTTAAGGATTTCAAGATGAGATCATCTGGATTACCTGGAACTGACAAATCGTTCTGGATTAGGGTAGGCCCTAAATCCAGCGACAGGTGCCCTTGTAAGAAGAGGCAGAGAGAGATTAGACAGACAGAAGGGGAAGCACAGAGGATGAAGCCATGTAAAGATGGAGGCAGAGATTGGAGTGATGCTGCCACAAGCCAACGAAGAACAGAGCCAGCAGAAGCTGGAAGGGGCAAGAAGGTTCTTCCCAGGAGACTTCAGAGGGAGCACAGCCCTGTCAGCACAGGACTTCGGACTCTGAGCCTCAAAACCTGGGAGAGAATCAATTTTGGTTATTTAATTTTTTTTTTTTGAGACACAGTCTCATTCTCTTGCCCGGGTTAGAGTGCCACGGCGTCAGCCTAGCTCACAGCAACCTCTAACTCCTGGGCTCAAGCAATCCTCCTGCCTCAGCCTCACAGGTAGCTGGGACTACAGGCATGCGCCACCATGCCCGGCTAATTTTTTCTATTTTTAGTTGTTTGGCCAATTTCTTTCTATTTTTAGTAGAGACGGGGTTCTCACTCTTGCTCAGGCTGGTCTTGAACTCCTGAGCTCAAATGATCCGCCCGCCTCAAGCCTCCCAGAGTGCTAGGATTACAGGCGTGAGCCACGGTGCCCGGCCTAATTTTGGTTATTTTAAGCCACTAAATTTGTGGCAATTTCTTTCAGCAGCCCTAGGACACTAGGACAGCCACTGAACAGCCCAAACTTGGACCCTGTCCCCAACTCCCCTCTCCCCGACCAAGACCCTGTGCATAGCTTTGGCCCCATTCAAAGGCTGCTCCAGTCACTGGGTGGCACCCCTTGCAGGCATAAGGGCCACTTGGGTTCAAGATGGGCATTCGATTTATTTACTTAGCTTGGTGTACAGGGATAGGAATGAACCAGCCCTGTTTTCTGTTCCAAGGAACCCTCAGGACTGTGAGTTCCAGACAAACTAGAACTCGAACAATATAAGGGTGGGGGGAACATGTGAGTCTGGAGAGTCACTTCAATGAGCTAAGACTTAAATTAAGCAGCTTCCCAGTGGGGCTCCCAAACTTTTCACCAGAATGGGCATCTTTTGTTAATTTTCCCCCTATGGAACACTCAGTTTCTAAAGACATGGCCTATCCAACCAACTACATATATTCAATAAGAATTCGTTTACCTTCCCATTAGTTATTTAAAGGTATGTAGTAATGACAGTTAATATTTAACGGGCTGCCCACTATACTAAGACCATGATATGTACTCAATCTTCAATCCTCTCTGAGGTGGACACTTTTATTATTTCCATTTTACAAAGGAGAGCACAGAGGCCCAGAGATTAATGGTAATTTCCCCAAGCTTGCACGGCTAGTATTTAGTAGATCTAAAATTTGGACACACGAAGCCTGGCTCCAAAGCAAGCACTCCTCTGGAGATCAGGTTAGAATCCGGGTTTCCATACCAATGTGCAGTGCTACCCTAGACAAATGATTTTGCCTCTCTGCACCTCAGTTTCCTTGTCTATAAAATGGGAACAATAGTGCCTGTATTGGAGGGAGACGTTGTGGAGATTAAATGAGAATGCGTACTTGAAATGCCAGACACAGTGCCTGCCACAAGCACTCAAGGAATGAGCTGGAATTCAACTGATAATACCAGGCAGCTGCTCTGGGCAGGCTTGCAATGGTAAAGGAACAGAGATGATTCTGTCTTCTAGGTTCTCTGACCCCATGGCGTTCACAATCTCCATTTAAAGTGCCAGGCCCAGATGTGGATGCTTTAAATTAGAGCTCCCAGGAAGGCAACCTGACCAGCCCTTCTCACGTGTGCTTCAAGGACCACAAGTGTGAGAATTAGCAGGAATTGGTGAGAATGCAGATCCTGGACCTCACACCCAGACCAGGGGTATCTGACTCTTTTGGAGGTGGGCCCAGGAACCTGCATTCTTCAACACACTTCCCAGGTGATTGTTAATTGTCAAAAGACAAAATTATAACTAATTTAAAGATCTTAATTGGCTTTATTTGTGATTCTAGAATTGGGCAAGACTTCATTCCACAAACTAGAATGAGTGCTCCAATGAGCAGAGAAAACCTTTGGTTTTACAGACAGAAAAGGGCCAAGGAAAGCAGAAACAAAGAACAAAAAGTAGATTGGTCACTTCAAATTTACTTTCCTTATAAGGCAGGAAGAGGGAAACAGAACAATAGGGAAATAACGGATTGGTTAACATCAGGTTACTTCAGGTTACTTTTTTGTTGACAAGCAGCGGGAACTTCATTACCATGCTGATTGAAACTGGCCTGTTTAGGTAATCAGGCTGTTTTATCTCTCTCTCCTGATCTCATGAAAGGTCATCGGTGCAGTGGAACTTTTGCATGAGTGACTCCATTTTGATTTTTAGTCTGGTCTGTTGGGGTCTGGGGCAGGAGCTTAGTCCAAAACGACGGTCTCCTGTAATTTTTATTTAACATAATGCACAACAGAATTTGTGCTCCACTTAGTTCAGTGTGATCAGGATTTCCTTGTGAAATATTGAAAATCACACCAGTACTTCCCTTAGCACCCAAACAGAAATTTCCTACAGAGGCACAACCCCTTACAGCAGGGGTCCCCAACCTATGGTGAGTTGTATAATTATTTCATTATGTATTACAGTGTAATAATAATAAAGTACACAATAAATGTAATGCGCTTGAATCATCCCAAAACCTACCCCCTCCCCCCACCAGTTCGTGGAAAAATTGTCTTCCAGGAAAACGGTCCCCGGTGCCAAAAAGGTTGGAGACCCCTGCCTGAGAGAGCAGTGGGCCTTCCCCAGTACTCTCCTAAGAGTGCGAATCATGAAGCTCCCCTAAGTTTCATGAAAAAAGGGCGGATATCTGGCCTGAGCCGGGAGGCAGGAAGCGTGGGGCACGCTGCCCTCCGCCCCTGCTCCAGCTTGGAGCGCTGAGTCCCCAACCTTGGCGCTGCAGAAAAGATGCAGCACTATGTCAAGGTCACTCACTCCGCCTCAACCGGCTAGCGGAGGCTGGATGCCCAGACCTGCCGGGGCCCGGCGAGCCCACGCGCCGTGGGCGGGGCTGTCGGGGGTCGCCTAGGCAACGGGCGCGCGCCACGCCCGAGCCCGAAGCCCCGGCGGGGAGGAGCGAGAGCGCGCTACCAGACCTCTCGCGGTGCTGAGGAAGTGTCCCCCTAGCACCTCCCCCGGCTCCACCCCGCGGAAGTGCTTGCTGACATTCTCGCGCGCTGATTGGTTCTCCCTCTCCAGGGGCGGAGCTCGCGGCGGGCGCGGTGCGTACTTCCGGCTGCCGGGTTGACATGAAGAAGCAGCGGCGGCTAGGGCGGCGGTAGCGGCGGTAGTGGAGGCTTGCAGCGGGCCTCGGGGCTAAGAGCACGACGCGGCCTGGAGCGGCAGACGGCGCAGTGGGCCGAGGAGGAGGCGCAGCAGCCACCCTGGCCCGTCATGGAAATGGAAAAGGAGTTCGAGCAGATCGACAAGGCCGGGAACTGGGCGGCCATTTACCAGGTGCGGGAGCGCCCCAGAGCGCAGCGGGCCATTCACTTAGGCCACATGAACCTTCCCCTAGACCCCCAAGCCCCATTCTCCCTCTGGGTACCGCCCTTCGCCTCGGCCCCACCTGCTTGAGGATTAGATTGCACAGCGGCTCGGGCCGCCCCCCCTCTCCCTTTGTCCCCGGGTGGGCATGCGTCTCGCCTGGGCCTCGCAGCCCCTTTCGATCCCCCACCTACCTCATATCGTCCAGCCCGGTGGCCTCTCAAGCCTGGGGGCCGCCCATCTATACTTTCAGCGTGAATCCCTCGCACCCCGACCCCGCCCCCCTGCCTACCCACTCTTTGTCCCCTGGGGTTGATTTAACACCCCACGACTTCCTTTTCTGGACTGGACCACCTCAGACTCTGTTCCTTTGTCTCCCTGGGGGAAAAGGTTACTCCTCCCTCCCTCCTTCACATTTCCTTTCCCCTAGTCTCAGTATGTGTTGAGTCTCAAGGATGACGGTCCCCTTCCCCCTTCCCGTTCATTCATTTAGTGGATACGAACTGACGTGCCTATTCGGTGCTAGGCACTGCTTAGGCGCTGGAGATAGTGTTCGTTAAACAGGACAGGCGAGACCCTATCCTTAGTGGAGCTTAGAGTCGAATAAGGCGTTCAAACACAGAAGCAAATAATTTCCGAGGGAGACAAGTGCTGTGAAGAGAACAACATCCTAACGGGGTAGAGGGTGATGCATGGAAGGCCGGCTACCTTAAAGAAAGGGATGAAGGAAGGTCTGTCAGGGGAAAAGAAATCTGCTCTGTGAGCTGAACAAGGAGGAGCGGAAAGTGGAGAGAATTTGGGATTAAAGAGCCTTCCAGCCAGACGGACTGCGGTACCCACTCCACTGAGGCCAAAACATTACCCTTTCAGGCAGGGAATAGGGAAGGTTAATGTTTCCACCCTCTCTCAAATAGCATCTTTGCTCAATGAGCATCTCATTCTTTGGTTATGGCTGAGATAATCTTTGTCTTCCAGTCCTCATCACTTGTGGGTTATGGAAGTTCGTGGATAAAAAGTTAGGAAGATAGGGTTTCTCACATATCTGTAAAACATTAAAAACGCGAAGAGGTCTTTCACAAGCAGCTAAATCCTCTAAAGAAAATATATACGCCTGATTAAATGTCATTGCGGGGGTTGTGAGGATTAACCAAAACCACACTTGCTCGGTATCTTAAATAAGCAATATACAGAATAGAGAGATTTTGTTAATTGTGTAAAGGGAGAAGGCAGTTTATTCTGTTTTCAGCTTATAGGCTCAAAAGGCAAATTGTGAGATCCATCAGCTGTAGTATTAAATCTATTTTGAACTCTGCTTAAAAAAGAAAAAAGCTTTAAGCAGTTCTTTGGTATGCTTGACTAACAAAAGCCTTTCTTTGGGAGCCTTGATTTCATGTGGATTTGCATCAAGCTTATTATTTGGCAGGATTCTTTTTATTTGGACTGTAATGTATATTAGCTTCTGATAGACTAATATTTACAACCACTGTAATCTGTATAAGTGTGATCGATCAACATATAAAATTCGTATTCCATGTCTAGTGTCTGTGAATTAATTGAATGAATTCACCAGTGACTTTGGGGATGTGTAGATACATTTTCTGCATCAGATTTAATGCATTAGAGTCTAAAGTGGCTTTAAATGAAAATTGTTGGTCTGAAGTGTTGGAGTCGATATGATATACCCCATCACAAGTGGAGGCATTGGGGGGAAATCTTTTGTGTTAAAACTGTCTAAGTTGGCAACAAGAAATTTATATTGTAAGTATGTTCTTGGTTGAATTTGATTTCTTACAGTTTTATGCCAGAGTGGCCTTACTTGTCACCCAGGTGTTGTTAAAACTGTGTTAAGCATGCTACTAGCATGGAGCCTGTTGGTCTTCAATTAATTTCTCTCATTGTTCTTAAGTTTCTCTACCACATTTAAACCCTACAGGTTAGTCAAGATTGAGGTTTCCCCAGCTTCTAAATGGATTGTCATTCCTGGAGTTGGTTTCTTTTTAATTGTCACTGTGGGTTTTTCTAACCTACCATGCAGATATTTTTCTTTTCTAAAATCGAAATCAGAAGCTCTTTTCCTTTTTAAGTTTAAAAAAGACCCTTTGTTGTACAACTGTGGCATTTTTAGAAATGTAGCATTCAAATGACCTTGAGTGAGTCTAAAGTGACTAATTTTCTAAGATGTATCAGTTTACCAAAACCATTGTTTTTCAAGGATTCAAAGAAATATGTTAAACACATTTAAATTGGAATGTTTAAAAAATTAATATTTTATAGCATGTCAAAATGAGGGCAGCATTATACAAAGTCATATTATGTTTTCTTTTGTTTGTTTTTGAGACGAAGTCTTGTTCTGTTGCCCAGGCTGGAGTGCAGTGGCACTAACATAGCTCACTGAAACCGCAAATTACTGGGCCCAAGTGATCTCTCTGCCTCAGCCTGTTGAGTAGCTGGGATCACAGGTGGGCCACCAAGCCTGGCTAATTTTTCTGTTTTTTGTAGAGATAGGGTCTTACTATGTTGCCCAGGCTGATCTCAAACTCCTGGCCTCAAGTGATCCTCCTGCCACGGCCTTCTAAAGTGCTGAGGTTACAGGTGTGAGCCTGTCATATTTTGAGCTTGCCTAGTCTATTGTGATTAGAAAAATAATGTGTAATTTTTGCTTAAAACTTTAACAGAGCAGTGTAGTCATTCTTCACCATTCTAACTTCTTTTCTAATTAGAACAAAAAGATGCAAAAACTTGGAAACAATTGGGAAAAGAACAAAGGGTGGACTTTTGAGTGTTGAGGAATGTGGCAGTTTAGAAAACAAATGTTTCAGACTGAGACTCTATGCTAGCTCAATTTGATAAATGAGCATAACCATATTTTTAATCTTTAATGCTACTAAATAGCATAGATACTAATAAATATGTAGGTCTATAAGAAGTCAGCTTTGGTAGCCTATGTGGATGGCTTTAAACATTGTTTCCTAGCATTTAAACGATTTAAAATCACCGGGTTTGAAAAGTGGAAGTAATATTTGGTGTGCCTCGTGTTTGAGTTGGTCTGGCTGTCCACATGAGGGGAGAGAGCCCAGATAAGGAAAAGGGGTTAGTATTAGCGAGCTATAGTAAGAGGGGAGAGGGCTTGAATGAATGGAAAGAATAGCTGATGTGCAGTAGTTTAAGAGGGTTTGGGTCAGGTGTTTGACTCTTTCTCATCTCCGAATTCTTTGATTCTCTGACATTGTTCACCACACTTCAGTGTGAATGATTTGATTGTTTCAGATAAAGGAGACTGCGACAGTAGATCGTGACTTGAAGGCAAGATTTATTCCATGTCAGAGACAGGCTTTGTAAAATGGGCCACTCTTCCAATTGATATTTGTTTTTTATAGCTATTTTCATTACGAAATATCTAATACCTGACTAGCTTAAAACCATGCTATAACAATAGTTCACTGAAAGTCCTTACTCATATGTACAGTTTGTATTTTATATTCCAAAAAGATGAATATTAAAACTTCCCAATAATTTTTTTTTAAATACCATTCTCTTAAGAGGGGGGAAAAACACTGTTTTGGGCAGAGGAGAAAGATCTATACACTATGACTCACTTCACTTAAAAAAAAAAAAAGACAAACGGAAATGACATGGAGAGACTGGGAAGTTCTAGTCATCTTGAGTGACCTGTTAGATCTAAATGTTCTTGTTTAGCCCTGGTTTGAGTGAACTAAATTTAGTTGTCTGATCAGCACTTTGGAAATGGTGTAAAGACCTTTGTAATTGTCTGGACTGATATTAAATTAACTGGGAGCACAAGTAGAAATAGTGGAGGGAAGAGCTTTTTGCAATCATTATTTGACATCACTGGCATATTTATAGGAATACTTTGGTGCTTTTGCAAGTAAGCAAACCATATCAGATGGTTCCGAAAAGTCAGCTGGGGGATACTGGGAATGCAAATGGTTTTTAGCTGCAAGTTATCTACCCTTGGGATCCTGGCCTCCCTACTACATTTTGCATTTTAGCATGACCAGCGCCTCAAAACTTATAAAAATACCTGGTATTGAATAATGTGATTGAATGTGTACTGAATTTTGTGATAGAAATGAGTAAGAAATTTACTGTGGAGGTTTTTCAACTATAAACTGCTAAAAAGAGCTGCCTTTTCTTTTTCTTTGCTTTTTTCCTTTTCTTTTTTTTTAAAGGAAATTGTCTGTTTTCTGATCTTTTAGATTGCAGGATCCTTTTGGCAATTTTTGTTCTATGCTGTACTTTTACTTGCAGGTACTTTTCTGAAGCCTACCTGAACCCATACATATTTTGCACAATTTGGCATCCCTCTGTACAGTGTTTATGCAGATTTCTTCCTGGTAACAACTAATACTGGCACACAGGCTGTGCTTGTTCCTTTATATTGCCCGTGTTCAGGAAAATTGGAATTCTAGCTGGGTCCTTGTTTCCCAGACGATGTAGTTTGGCAGCAGCCATTCGGTGTGCTGGTTTTGAGGATCCAGAAACGCTGGGGACTTGGAGTAGTCTGGGTTTTCCTCTGCCGCATTTCGTTGGTGAGTCACCACAGCATCTTTCCCACCACCCCAGTGGTCTAGGTTCTCGTTTTGCCTATAAGCCTGCAGCTGTTTCTAGTTTCACACTGTGGAAATGAGCAGAACTGGTTACCTATTAATATGGTCCTCCATATTAATACCGTCCCTCCACATTGCCCTCCCCTGCACCATGTATATTCTTCACATTATCACTAGAGTAATTGTTCTAAAACCACAGCCGAGCCTGTCACTGCTCTGTGTAACTTCTAATGCTTTCATAGTACCTGTAAGGTCCAACTGCTTAACCTGGCAACCAAGTTCCAGTCATCCCTTCCCATGTGGGTTCTATTCTAGCCACATCAGAAGGGGCAGCTTTTTCCAAACTCATCCTCACCTTTTCTTGCCCTATACCATTGCTCAGCACTTTGTCTAGGATGCTTC